GACTATTATGAGATTATTTACTGCATTCGAAGCTGCTCTGGTAATCTGGCGCATCTAAATATAAATTTACACACATGCCAGGAGTTTACAAACTTGCCGCATTGATGAATGCTCCGCTGCTTCGATCGATGTTGCTCAATGGGGACGCATACTACACAGGTAGATGTAGTGCCATTCCTCGAACACAGCCTACTGCCTGTCATGTGAGCTAACTCCCATGTTGCCTGCTGCTGCGCATCTAGTACGCATACCCAGCTCAACCTGTATTATAACAGTCCCAACAATTGAAATATGCTGTGTTGGAGCTAAGCGAGCTGGAATCCCGGTAGAATCTATCCATGATAGTCGCAAATTGAACCATTGGGATAAATAGTTATTGATCTAATTTTACAAACAGTCATGGGTTACAGCTAACGACGAAACGATAGACCCAGTTTGCCCAACGTGATGCTTTTGATTTTCGTTTATTTTTGGAGGAATCATGAGCGGCCAAACAGTAATTCCCTATACCTTGTTGCTCAGGGATTGGCATGCCGCTTTCAAAAGCTATGGAGCAGTGGTGATCCTATTTGGTTCTAAACAAAAATCCAAAGCAGTATTTTGGTTAAACTGGGTCTGTTGCTCCATCGTTAGCTGTGAAAGATAGCTCCAAGAAATTCTATGGACAGGGGCACTCCGCAATGAGAAAACCACACCAGCTTGAGAAGTTAAATGGGAACGTTTGACACTGAGCCGGACCGCCCGGACCGCCAGAAATAGGTACTTGACAATCCCCCCAGCCTCTTCTGTCTCTTGGTCGAGACGCAATACATCCACTATATTAGAGTCTTCCACCCCATCGATGGGTTCGCCAGTTGCTCTCCCCTCATGTTTTCACTACTGCCGGTTGTAAGCCTTCTTATATAATCTTATATGCCCTCAAGTCGAATGTTCAACAACCCTCCCTCCTACTCCCTTCTCTGGTGCTGATATCGACTCTTTGTATTCAACAATAACTACAATCCAATGGTCTTCCTCCTACCAAAAGGGCTTGGCACGTATCTCCCGGCTTTGTGTTGGAAGCTTCTTCTTCGACCCTCCGTCGTTTCTTTGGCTTGATTCACACTTGCCAGGTTTTAGAGAACGCGAGACACAACTTGTCCTACCGGTGGCTCGTTATTATTGGATTTTGGGTTTATCGTCGCGACCGGGTACCAATGCCTCCTCAACCTGACGTCTCCCAGCGTCTAAGGGCAATAGTGCACTCTTTCCCCCCACCTTCCTCTCTTTGAGCGCACCCGTAACTCGCATTTCTGGCGCCCAAACAGTGACTGAGACATGTGTGATCGCCGGCGCTTAAGCTATAAGGGGAACTGGTTATCACGCTCGCTTAGCATCCAGAATTTGCAAGAAGTGTTGGGTTTAATTCCCAATGTGTCCACTTGTCATTTTGACATCCTTTCAACTTGAAGCCGAAATTATGAACTTTTTTCAAACTGACCGAAGTGATTTGACGATGGGCCGGACCGTAAGGTACGCTTATCTGGGGTGCAGCACACTAGCCTGAGAGAGAATCTTTGTATAAGAGTTACGAGTCGGCTGTGGGGAAACCAGAGAGAGAGGAGAGCTCACAGAGGGTGGTCGCTCCTAGTGTATGGAGCTATATATAATCAGAGCGAGCTAACGTTTGACGATGAGACGGGCCGCAAGGCCCGCTCATCAGAGGATAAAAAAGGCGCGCGATTTGGGAAATCCTTCATCCTAGTTAGCTTCGCAATTTATCACGTCTCGTCGAGCCTTCTTTCTTATCGATGGCTCGCGAATTCTCTTTGGGTTTTTTCATCTCTCTCTCTCAAACCACTGCCATCTCTGCAGTGGGCATCCTATCAGTCTTGCTGCTACCGTTCGGCGTCGCGCTCTCTGTGTTTTTTGCGACCCTCCCACCTACTCCCTTCTAGTGTTGGCATTGGCTCGAGGGTCTGCTTTTCAGACTCTCGTTGCCCCCAACGCTCAGGTTCCCAACACGATGGCAGCGCGAAGTTTAGTCTTCTGCCATCGTCGTTCACGTGTCGCGCTTAGCGCTTTCACGTGTGTTGGAATCTCATCCGATTGTGCTTCACAGCAAGTCGCTTCCTCGCGCGATTTGGTCGATTTTGGCTATTTCCCCTCACTTCCGACGAAGGTCATACCAGCGCTTAAGGAATACTTGATGACTTTATAGGTGTGGTTTTGTCAAGTTGGCTGTATCTTACTCAGGTACCGCTTTTATACTTTGGTTACGGTGCCGCAATGCACAAAATCACGAGAAAATAGTATTTCACTTAATTTACATACATTTTAATACCTCTCTCACTGCAATCCATTTTCCCTGAGACTCGGATCCGAGAGATGTTATACTTATCCCTTTCCGATGACGGAGAAGTCAAGAATAATTTAGACTTTTGCCAACGTCTTTATTTCGACATCGAAGCTCATCAAAGCCGAGAAATAAGAATCTTGGGGTTGAATTCGGATCGGAACCTGGGGACGGCAGTCACGTGTGAGTTTTGGGCAGCCACGTGCCACCAAGTTCTAGAGGTTTCGTAGGATTTCGCAGAGTTGGGCTATAAAAGGTTTCACACGAAATTTCAAAAGTTTACCTCTGCTCTCTTTTTTCTTCTTTCTGTTTCTCTCATACCTCCAACTCCTCCTCAAAAGCCCAACGATGCATCGTTTGTCCTCAACATCTTCCTCTTCAATTCGTCGCGCTGCCACAAAGTCGGCCAAGCCAATCCTCGCGCGCGGTGCCCACAAGGAGATTAAGTTCTCGAATGAGGGAAGAGCAGGCATTCTCAAGGGTGTTGACATTCTTGCCAACGCCGTTAGTGTAACGCTAGGCCCTAAAGGTATGTAGAGGGACTATTAGAAGTGAATGTATTCATATTCACGTATTTGTCACGCGTTTAGGTCGCAACGTCATCATTGAGCAGTCCTTCGGTGGACCTAAAATTACAAAAGGTATGTCTACGTTACTTGACTCTCTTCCGGAAATTAGTCTAATGGATTACAAGATGGTGTTACCGTTGCCAAGTCCATCACATTGAAGGATAAGTTCGAAAACCTTGGTGCTCGGTAAGTTTTTGCAACGCGTCTCGGGTAAGTTCGCACCCTAACCTGTCTGGCATTAGTCTCGTACAGGATGTTGCTTCCAAGACCAACGAAATTGCCGGTGACGGTACAACAACCGCTACCGTTCTCACTCGTGCTATCTACTCGGAAGGTGTCAAGAACGTCGCCGCTGGTTGCAACCCCATGGACCTTCGTCGGGGATCTCAAGCAGCTGTTGACAGGGTCGTCGAGTTCCTTTCCGCCAATACAAAGACCATTACCACCACTGCTGAGATCGCCCAAGTAGCCACCATATCAGCCAACGGCGACACGCACGTTGGTAACCTTATTGCTCAAGCTATGGAGAAGGTTGGCAAGGAGGGTGTTATCACCGTGAAGGAGGGTCGTACCATCGAGGACGAGATTGAAATTACGGAAGGAATGCGTTTTGACCGTGGTTATATTTCACCCTATTTCATCACCGACGTCAAGACTCAGAAGGTCGAATTCGAGAAGCCATACGTTCTGCTCAGTGAGAAGAAGATTTCAGCTCTGCAGGATATTCTCCCTTCACTTGAGGCTGCTGCCCAAGCCCGTCGTCCTCTTGTCATCATTGCTGAGGATATTGACGGTGAGGCTCTCGCTGCCTGCATTCTCAACAAGCTCCGTGGTCAGCTCCAGGTCGCTGCTGTCAAGGCTCCTGGCTTCGGTGACAACCGCAAGTCCATCCTTGGTGACCTTGCCATCCTTACTGGTGGAACCGTCTTCACTGATGAGCTCGACATCAAGCTCGAGCGTGCCACCGCTGACATGCTCGGCTCCACCGGCTCAATTACCATTACCAAGGACGACACTATTGTTTTGAACGGTGATGGCTCCAAGGATGCCATCCAAGCCCGTTGCGAGCAGATTCGCGCTGTTCTCAGCGACCCCACCACCTCGGAGTTCGACAAGACCAAGCTCCACGAACGTCTTGCCAAGCTCAGCGGAGGTGTTGCCGTTATCAAGGTTGGAGGTAGCTCCGAGGTTGAGGTTGGAGAGAAGAAGGACCGTTACGACGATGCTTTGAACGCCACCCGCGCGGCCGTCGAGGAGGGTATCCTTCCCGGTGGTGGTATCGCCCTGCTTAAGGCTTCTCTTCAGCTTGCTACCACGTCCCCTGGAAGTGGCTCTTCCTCATCACCCGTTGCACCTGATGTCAAGCCCATTTCTACTTCCAACTTTGACCAGGAGCTCGGTGTTGCCATCATCCGCCGTGCTTTAACCGCACCATCCCGCGCCATTCTCTCCAACGCTGGTGAGGAAGCCTCTGTCATCGTCGGTACTCTCCTCAAGCAGTACGGCAGCCCCGAACAATTCTCATGGGGTTATGACGCCTCGAAGGGCGAATACGTCGACATGATCAAGGCTGGAATCGTCGACCCTCTCAAGGTTGTCAGAACTGCCCTCGTCGATGCCAGCGGTGTTGCCAGCTTGTTGACCACAAGTGAGGCATGCATTGTTGACGCTCCCGAGGAGGACAAGCCCGCTGGTGGTATGGGAGGCATGGGTGGTATGGGCGGAATGGGAGGAATGGGCGGCTTCTAACCGCTTATGACTCGTTATCACGTTGAGTCGGAGGTGATTTTACGAGGAGGTGATTGGGTATCCTAAAATGCACCTATCTATATGGTGGTTTGGCTTGCTATCTGTACCACCATGCGTCTGCCGACGAGCCCATGGCACATACCATGCCCTAATGCTTGCTATCTTAATCCGCTTTTAGACAGACTACTTACGTTATTACGATTAGTTCACTATAGTTAATAATAACCACCACTCATGATTAGAACGAATGTTGAATTGCGCCATGCTAAGTAACTACGATGATGCATACTGTGGACGGAGAAAACCTATTAGGGCCCACAATTCCACGTTCCCTAAAAACCGTTACAGGGCGCATGGTGTAGTTGGTTATCACGCTCGCTTAGCATTGAACTTGGTTTGCGAGAGGTGTTGGGTTCAATTCCCAATGCGTCCAACCTTTTTTGATTTCAAGCATATCATTACAAGTTAACCATCGACATCTTACACTAATACCACTAATACGAGGACGTTTGAAATGGACGGCGTTTTCTTCTCTGCCATTTTTCTCACTAAAACTCACGTTTTGCATTCTGTGATTTGTCCAGTGCGAACATCTGGGAAGCTTTTCAATGTTCAGTCACCGTGTATAGACGACATATGTCTCCATCGATCAACCGAGGTATGTTGACCCCTTCTTAACTCCAAAAGGGACTCGGTAATAATCCAAAGTAAGGATATTAATTGTACTCACAACTAGACGTACTGAACTGCCTTCCGGAAGTATCTTTCACCGGACTGTCTCGGTTGATGACGATCATTATCTACTCCGACGACGCGTGTTGACTCTCCGAACTCGAATCTGGGTATATGAACCACATTATTTTTTCAAACAAGACATTGAACTGAAGGTTCAAGCGATGTATGTCGACTGGCAAGCCTCAAGAGGCCAGACAGAACCCGGGAAAACACCCTGCTCCACGGGCCTCTAATTTTTGTATCTCAAGACTCAAGCCAGTTTCAGCGGAAGATGGCCAGGGGCTCACCCAATATATCAGTCTCACAAGTACGTTCCAGCTTACATATAAATCCGAGACTTCTATCTGACGATTTGAAAACTTATCGGCAGGTATAAAAGCACTACTTTTCTCCCCGAGTTCTGAATGACCAATATCATGGAAGATCGATCGTCCTCTAACGACTTCAATTTGTCTCCCGTCCTTCACGAAGCCGTGTCCTCATGGTTTCTTGGGTCACAGGCAGGAAATGCGACATTGCTGAAGGACCTCTTCGCTTATATCGTCAATAGCCACGCAGAAGCACGCAAGGCATACCACCCAGAGGATGGGGTAGGTTGTGATCCAACTGCCGTTGAAGAACACCGTTTGCTTAAAAACCTATTGGCTTTTTAGATATTCATTACCAACGAAATCAAAGAGTCGCCGACTTATAAGAGAGCAGTTGATCACCTTCGTCGTGAATTCACCCGTCTCTCCGATATGTTAAATGAGAACTCGATCCCAATCTATTCTACCCGATATGCTGGTCATATGTCCTTCGAAAGCAGCCTACCCTCAATCTTGGGCTGGCTCTCTGCAATGTTGTTTAACCCTAACAACGTCGCTTTCGAGGCAAGTCCCATCACGACCCTATTGGAATTAGATGTGGGGTTCCAAATGTGCGAGATGCTGGGTTATCCCCTCAGCAATTCCGTGAAGCCCTGGGGTCATCTAACTTGCGACGGGACTGTGGCAAACCTTGAATCGATTTGGTATGTTTTATTTAGCACTCCTCGCATTTTATCTGACAATTCACATTTATCAACAGGGCAGGTAAGCAGTTATGCCGACCTCAATAAGACGGAGCTTTACTGGGGCCAACAGCCCGTAATCTCAAATTCTACCCTCTCGCCCTTCGTGAGGCAATGATGGACGAAAAGGAGCTGTCTTTCCTTTCCGATAGATTTCGGATCCGAAAGTGCAGTACCGTGGAAGACTACCTGTTCAGCGAACTCAGTACTTGGGAGCTCCTGAATCTGCGGTCTGTCGACATCCTTGATATCCCCGACCGGTTGAACAAGGACTTTGGCATCAGCTCTAAATTTCTGGAGGACTCCGTAAGACCGTACATTATCCAAACGACTGGAAAGGATGTAGTGGAGCAGCGATGGGGAATTGAGAAACCTACGCAATATTTAATAACCAGTACCAAGCATTATTCTTGGCTGAAGGGGGCAGGTGAGTTGCTATTAAGTCCTAACTTGCCGTTTTCTTAGGGAATTTTACCTGCGTTATAGCCCTAGCAGGAATTGGCGCTTCAAACGTTGTAGATGTACCCGTCGATGAAGATGCCAGGATGGATAAAGCAGCTCTACGGTCATTCATTGAGGAGCGATACCAAAATCAGCAGGCAATTTACGCTATAGTCGCGATCATTGGCTCTACTGAAGAAGGTGCGGTTGACCCCTTGGACGAAATTGTGGCGCTGCGAATGGAATATGAGCAGAAAGGAATGACGTTCCTTATCCATGCTGGCATGAATTTCCTGCTGTTCTAATCCTTGGACAAGAAGCTGACTGTCCTTGGTGTTCAGATGCTGCTTGGGGAGGGTACTTTGCCTCCATGATTCGCGAAGAACCTCATCGGCAAGCTCCACAGACACCCCCTTTACCCCTCCATCCGAGGTTCCCATCGCACCTCTACGCTCCTTCTCTCTCACTCAAGAATCACACCTTGAAACAAATCAAGCTACTTTCACAGGCCGACTCTATCACCATTGATCCCCACAAAAGCGGTTACTGCCCCTATCCTGCGGGTGGATTGGTTTGAGTCCCCCTTCTTCGTGGCGTTGAAGGAAATTGAGGTTTTATTCTGTAGTGCTATAAAGATGGTCGTTTGCGATATCTGCTCACCTGGACAGCTCCTTATATCAACCAAGGCCAGAATGGGGAGAGTATTGGCGTATACGGCGTCGAGGGAAGGTATGAAAATTGCGATGCTTCCCCTCGCACAACTTATTCACCCTTTAACCACAGTAAACCAGGAGCAGCAGCGGCAGCCGTGTATCTTCATCATTCAGTCGTCGGACTGCACAAACTCGGTCACGGAAGCTTGCTGGGCGAAGTCCGATTTAGTTGCGCTCGAGTAAATGCTCTTAATTTGGTGTAGTGATGAATGAACTTACGCCGAAACTCCGCCAGATATCAGCTCATTGGGCCACTATATCCGATGCAACTACCCCATACATCGTTGTTCCACTAAACAAGCTCCTATCCGAACCAGATCAAAAAGAGGTAGAAAAAGAGAAACTTTTCATCCGCCAGAAAATATTAGGACGAAGCAACAAAGACATCATCGAGGACGCCGATCCAAACGCGCTGGACGAGTTACTGGCTTTAGGATCCGACCTGAACATAAACACCTTTGCATGCAGCTTCCGCCTTGGAGGTGACAATGGCCAGGATTTTACACTCAACACCGACGTGGAAGAGGCAAATTACTTGAACAAGTGCATCTTTGACAGGCTTTCCGTCACTGGTGTGGGTAAACGGCCCCATGATATACCCATCTTTATCACCTCTACTGTGTTTTCGCATAAGGAGTATGGCCGATGCCTGGCCTCGTTCAAGAAGCGTTTGGGTCTCGAAATTGACTCGTCCCAAGACTTATTTGTGCTCAGAAACGTCGTCATGTCACCCTTCCAGGCAGCCGCAGACTTAACTGGGCAGGTCACTGAAATATTCCGCCAAACCTTGGAACAGGAAATGAAGGTATGTTTTCCGCTCGTTATGTACTGTTGTGGTTTACAAAACGAAAAAAAATAATCAGCAAGTTGTAGCTCGAAATTCAATCACCCCGCAGGGACACATGTTTATCTTGCATGGAACCGAGCCAGTCTACCTCGTCTATTGCCCTCTATTCTACAAAGCGAACGGACGACAACAGCTAATCCTCAGGGTCAAACCTTCGATCAACTCTAACAACGCATGGAATCTTTATCTGAATGCCAAAATGTTGTTCCCCGAGGAAGTGTTCACATTTTTCGTGGAGAAGCAAACTTTGGAAAACATCATGGAGTCAAAGCAACTAACGGGATACATTTACCACAGGTAAACGTCTTAGTCAGACCTTTCGACGAGACAGCATACTTAACCCTGTCCAAATTAGAGGCACAAATCTGACATGCTGTTGCTTAGTTGAGGTGGAAATCATCAAGCAAAGGTCACTGCTTTCGCGCTGGAGGGATCCTGATTACCCGCATCCATATTGTCCATTTTATCTTTATGGAACATCTCAGGACCCCCACATCGACCACATGCTACTCAAAGCGCCAAATGCCCAGCTGACTGCAGAAAAGATATCGCTGGACCTCAACAATGCGCTACCGGAAGAGCAGTTGGCAAACGGGTCGTTGCTGCTCTACATGGACCTCTACGAGCGTGCAATGCAACCTTTCGACAACGACAATCCACCATCATTCTTTAAGCCTGGTTTCGAAGTTTCGGTTAAAATCTACGAGGACCCTTTTCCGCCGATATCTCATGGCCCGGGTCTCGCACCGGATTTTTGCAACGGAACTCTTGAACCTGAGGTCAGACGAGAGCCTGTTGCCACAGGAACTCTCCGTTTGGGACCTTCTGTGTGGGTTGACTTTGTGGACCTGAACAAACAAAACTTCCATAGGGACTCGCATGTCGGACGGTATACGGAGGACTGTTTAAATTAAGGGTACAGGGCGGAGTGGAGGAAGATGGTGTCTGGTCGTATGGGTGGGGAGGATGATAACAACGAAATTACGCCTGGTTGGGCCAAGGTGAATTGACAACTTAAGAGAATGCATTGTTGAATTTCGTTATGCAATCCTCGTCGTTATGATTGGCACAATGTGGGGGTAAACCGTGAATGACATGTTAGTGCTCTGATACGTAATGGGGGGTCAACACAGAAAAGAAGACTCGTCCATGAAATAAAAACAAAGGTGCAGTGGTTAATGCTAGTCAATGGAGCGTTGCGGCAGATTTAGCGATCATATTCGCACTAAAAAATTGTGTGGGCGTTAGTATTATTAGCGCTGGAGAATTTAGATGGAAAGTGCACATACAAGATGTTTTCAGAATACCAAAATACCTCCCAAGAAGTTCATGAGACCGATCTGAGGCGACGTCCTCAGACCACTCCCCGTACCAATCATACCCTAAAATTTGCTTTGCAATCTCGCTTGTCATGTCCGTCGATCTGATGAAGGTGTTCCACCGTGCGCCTATGGCCGAAACAACGCAAAGGGCAGGGTGTCCTGACCACACCGCAACAGCGTCAAATAGCTGATCGGCATTATTCCGCAGAATCTGCTGGCTTATGTCGAGGTCGAGGTTAATTTCGCCATGCAGCTGCAAGAGGAGGACAGCTTGGTCCTGATACAGGACAGACATGTTTGGTGGTTGGTGGTTATTGCCACATC